GTGTGTGGGGGGGGGGTGTTTGTGGGGCGGGGGATGGTGTTTAACCATGGCCATTTTTCAATTCATACAATTCAAGGAGCCACTTTGCCTTACTGAAGGTATAGGCTATCTTGAATTTTTTGGCCATGTTCACTCTTCTTTAGGTGGAAATAAGATGAAGAGGAAGTGCGTAACTATTTCTTTCTGCCTGTATAACTTTTTTAAAAATTTCAAATTTCTAGGTGAATTTTATCTGGAGTAAATATTCCCTTTATAAAGCTCAAGTTGATGTTGTAGGTGGCCTCCTAAAATGCACTTTTCATTTTATAACTCTGCATGCCTTGGCTCCATGCCTGACCTCCCAGGTTACAAACATTAACAGTAAACCCCACTCAAGGACATAACACCTCTCTCAACAACAACCCCCAGAAAACAGCACTCATGTTACTAATAAGTTACCCAGCAGTGTTCACGTTGGACACTAATAACCCACCAGGCTGATAGAGGCTCAGTCCTTAAAACCCACCCCACTATTTACAAAGATATTTTCTCTTTCCCAAGTTGCAAATGAAAAGCAATGATGTTTTCTGTTACTACAAAGGAGAGGCGTTAGGGATTGTCTACTTGTTTGATTTTATTGTTATTGTTGTTGTTGTTGTTGTTGTTCAATGTAAAGATTTAAAAATAAGGGCAAATCAGGTACCTTTCATCCCACACTCAGGCAAGAGGATATCTATCTGACTTATAAGCCAGCCTGGTTTACATAAGGAGACCCTGTCTCAAACAAACAAATTAAATAAGGACAACACACCTGTATGCAGAGTATCAACTGTATTTGAGAAAAGCGTCTGTTTTGAAAGCCAATTATATACTAAATAATACATTAAGCCATCTAAAATTATCATACTGAATGCAGAATGACTAAGTCTGACTAAGATTTCTGTAAAATTTAGAATGACCATAATTCAGATGTTCTATATAAGAAGGTAAGAGCTTGGGGTCATCGCCTGAGGACTTGATTAAGCAGGAATAAGACAGAACAGAAAGAGGCCAGGAAGACAGCATTAGGGAAGGGTGAGCCCCAGGCAGGAAGTTCCGCTCAGGATGGAAGTAAAGGCCCACACTGGGGCAGAGGGTTTGGATCAGGTGGTGATTTTCTAATTCTGTTTTGAAGAGTGTCGTCCCCTGTTCCCCCCTCTCCCCCGCAGAGGCTGGTCAGCAAGGGACTGGGGCTGCCAGCTAGTGACCTCCTGGAGCATGGCGGTGCAGCAGGTCCATTAGAAACTGGCCTGCCAGCGCACAGGAGCATATGGAGACTAGCCAGAGTGTCAGCTGGGTGCCATGAGCCCAGTGTGTTACTGGCTGTGCTATTTTTGTTGTTGTTGTTTCTGTTATGTGTGTGTGTCGCAGAGAAAGTGTGGAGGTGAGAGGATACCTTGTTGATGTCATTTTTCTCCTGCCATTTAGGTTCTGGTATTGAATTCAGGTCATCGGGCTTGGTGACCAACACCTGTATCTATTAAGCTCTCTTTCTGGCCCTGAATACGAGATTGAAAAGAAAGCAGGAAAATGGGTGCATCTGCTCTCACCAAGGAAGAGCCAACAGGCCTGGGAACAGATTGTATGGTCCAGGGGCAGGAGGTGACAGACCCAGAGAGAGAGACCAAGACTGCTGCACTGAGCTCCAGTCTGGTGATACTGGGTTATGTAGCAGTGTGAAAGATACTGTCGTGATGGTGTGCAAGACCTAAGGAGAAATACAGAGTGGGTTGAATGTGTGTATGTGGCTATGGAAAATACCACTGTGCCTGGTAATTTACACACCGATGCCTCGTGTGCACAGTGAGGTTCAGCATGTGGCGACGCTGGGAATCCAGTTCTCTTTTATACTTGGATAGTTGTTTTTATTCAGCTTTGTAGGAGATTTGCTGTTAAACTAAAAGTCCTGGGCTCTGTGGCAGGGCTAAAAATCCCAGAACCAGAGACTGAGAGTCAGTGCTTCTGGTAGGTGGCAATTACAGGGTTCTGTTGCTGGGTGAGGCAGAGATTCTCAGGGGTGTGGCTTCTTCCAGCTGCTGAAGATAAAATCCCCAGCAAGAGAGAACTTGCCATTTCTCTTCTGACCTGGGGACATAAAGCCACAAACTCAGGCCTAAGGAAACCACCAGGAAAGCACCGTCTCAAAATAAATACATATAAAATAAAAGCTATGAGCGAGCTAAAAATAGAGATGTAAATATTTACTCAGTGAAAGAAAGATTCATCAGCCGGGACTAGGGCTCAGTGATGGAGCACTTGCAAAAGGCCTCAGGCTCAATCCGCAGTACCACAAGAGAAAAAAGGAGGACAGGCTGGAGAGACGACGGCTGGCTCCGTAGTGGAGCCATGCTGTGCTCTTGCAGAAGACCCAAATCCCCAGCACCCATGTCAGGCGGCTCACAGCTTCTGTAACTCCAACTCCAGAGGACCCGGTGCCTGGTGCCTTTTTCTGACTTGAGTAGGCACCTTCACTCATACACACCTACATACACACGCACATACTTAAATATAAAATAAGTCTTTAAAAAGAACGAAAAGTGGACATCCGTCTCAGCCAGGCGTAATAGCACATGTCTGTCTAATACAGCACGTGGGAGTTACAGGCAGATGCTCAAGACTGCAAGCTCAAGGCCAGCCTGGGCTGTATAGCAAGACCTCCATCTTTTTGTTTGTTTTTTGAAACAGGGTTTCTCTGTGTTACCCTGGCTGTAACTCCCTCTGTAGACCTTGGCCTCAAACTCAGAAATCCACCCACCTTTGCCTCCCAAATTCTGAGATTAAAGGTGTGTGCCACCACCACCTGGCCAAGACCTCCATCTTAAGAAACAAAACAAAACAAAACAAAATTTTACAGCGGGCAGAGTCTAACAGGCCTGCATACTGATCAAGGTTAACACACACACACACACACACACACACACACACACACACACACACACAAACACTGATGATTTCTGTTGGTAATATGTGACCTTGATATAATGTGATAGCAATGGTACCTAGCCTCTGTGGTCTACTCCACAAAACCCATCTATCCCTCTGGCTAATCATGAGAAGAACATCCAATTTGAGTAGAGAAACATCCTAAGTACACTTGACCAATACTCAAAACTGTCATAGTGACCTTAGCATCAAGGAAAGTATGACATGTACAGGCCAAAGAGAAGTGTAAAGACATGTGAGTATGATGTGTTTTACTGGGTGGGGGCCTGGAGCAGAGGACATATTCTAGGTGAAGACAGAGGAAGCCCCTGGGCCAAGGTGACATTGTATGTTCCCAAGGTAATAATGGGGAACTGTACATGGTATATATAGAAACGATTTGTATACTTTCTAAGTTTTCTGAAAAACTTGCAAACTAAGATAAAAGGGCAGCTTAAAATAATACAAATAATATCAGACATTGGTGGCATATGGTAGATCTCTGAGTTCAATGCCAGCCTGGTCCTCAAAGCTAGTTTCAGGACAGCCAGGGCTACACAGAGGAAAACCCTGTCTCAGGACATGAACAAATACTAGTGAACACTTGAAAAAAATCAGATTTACTAATGTTCAGGGTATTATCATTTACCTGGCATATTTTGAGTCAAACATGGTTTGAGTATGTAAGAACACAAAATGAAACAATCTCTCTGGAGGTATTTTGAAGTAGGTAAAAGCTGCTTGAGAAAGTATGATTTCAGAGAACTGTTTCCCACAGTGTTATCTGCAATAGCAAGTACTCAGATGGTAACCAAAGTTTATAAAAATAGTGGGAATCCTCAACATTGGGATTAGTCCTATTGAGTAACATTTGAGGACATACATTCCATCTGCCAACACACAAATTAACTGTAAGCCCTGTTCTGTTGTGACGCGTCTGTCTGTCCTTCCTCTGTATGTTTACTGATATCAATAAATGCATTAAATCCTGTTGGTGATTTAAAGTAATTTTATAAATGCTTAGAGTTATATTTAATATGTATTTGAGAATTTCATACATTTATACAATGTGTTTTGATCCTATCACTCCACCCACACACACACTTCTCCCTCTTGGTTCCCCTCAGATCCATCCCTCTACCCATGCTTAGGTTATTTCAATGTAAATCATAACTAATATTGAGTACTACTTCACAGCTCTGTCATATATAAAAGCCACTGCTGCTGGGCGGTGGTGGC